TATATATATATATATATAAATGTATATATATATATATATAATATTCATTCGATTGATGTTTTCAGAGGTAATGCGGATGTTGAATATCGGTATTTGACGGAAATATTTATGTGCATTGTTTATGATATCGTAAGCTTTACCCGCCTCAAGGCAAGATTGAATTTTAGCCTATTCCAGAAAATGGTAAGTAAATAAACAACATTGACATCTCAGGTTAGATTTATTAGCCAAACATGTTAAATAGTAGATTAGCATATATATTATTATATATTTATCTGCAGTTGTTGTAATTTAAGGTTATGTAGAAGATAAATTATTTATTAATCAATTTAATTGTTGTTGTTTTTTTTTTTCAACAAGAGTTCAATACAAAATAACAAGCATCAATAATCGCTTTCCCACCAATCAAAAAACACATAAGAAATTAAACATTACCATTCCAACATTATTTGCAGGGACCAGAAAAATATTGTAGAAATAATGTCAATGTTTTCTAAATAACCAGAAATTTGCAAAAAAAACTCTTTGTTGGGGTGTATAATTGTGAGGAGCTAAGCTGAGAGAGCAGCTTAGCTCAGTCGGTTAAACTAGTGGTAGCCACTGTGTGTGAGCTGAACCGTGGAGATCTCTAGGTCCAAGGCACGCTTCGCATTTCTGCTCTTCTTGTGTTTCAGCTAGAGGAATGTAATAAATGCAAGTTACGATAGGTCCCGTGTGCATTATTGCTCTTGTGCACGTTAAGAACGCAGTACACTATTCGGAAAAGAGTAGGGGATTGTCTCATGGTGCACTGCCTAATCACCACCAGAAGGACCCCACTGGAAATAAGTCTTCTTCAGACTTTCATGTGTTACCCTTGGTGTGTTTACACCAAATGAATCCATCTATCCATTTAAAAAGCTTTCTTTTATTTACTTTTTATAATGCCGTCTACAATGTTTAGTCATTGTGAAACATTCAACGTAAAGCCGGCAAACTAACAAAATATGAATATTTGCTTGAGAGGAGCATCCGCATGTGAAGTATTTTTAACTATTTGTGGTGATTGTCTTCGATTTAACCGTAATTATATATTTCTATAGGATACATTATACACCGAAAATGAATCTGTGGACAAAGAGCCAATTTGCCTATTTTTCAACGAAACACAACTGTAAGATTTCTTTTGTTTGTTTCAATTTATAAGAAATCACTTTAATTTCATTAAAACTTAAAACACATGACTATAATTGTTGTAAATGAGGAGTATATAAGTATATACATATACTGATTGTCATACGATTTTTTATTCAATAGGGTTTGGAGTGATGAAGGTGTGACAACCATTAACTATTCTCAAGACAAAGTATCTTGCTATTCTGACCATATTACTAGTTTCAGCGTAATGATGAAGGTTACTAAGGCAGAAGTATGTGTTCGTTCATGCATTTCATCTCATGCTTTCCCTTACGTACACACAGTACCTTACATACAAAAACTGTTCTTCTGTTTGCTTCATTAAAAAAAATATTCAAAACTCACCTTTTCCGTCATTAACGTGCAAAACGCCTTTGAAAATGCACCTCGGCCGTTTAATCGACGCTTTATAAATTTTTATTATTATTATTATTATTATTATTATTATTATTATTATTATTATTATTATTATTATTTATTGTATGCATACATACAGTACATATGTCTACATATACATACAAAAATATCCAGTGTCTTTCGAACAGCCTGAAGAACTCAAACCCCTGAAATTCATTTTTTTTTTCAATTGTTTTTTATTGCTTTCAACATACATTACAAAACTCATAACAACATAATATAATATAATGTAATATTACAATTAAAAATCTCATCCTTCTTGTAAAAATTTGCCATTACAAAATCCATAGCCAATATAATAGTATAATTATAATATAAAATTACAAACATTGTCATCTTTTTAATATAAAAATCAATTTACCAATTTCATTAACAGTACTTTGAAGTGTTCTCTTAAGGCTTTATTTTTATCCAAAATAGAACTCTTTACAACTCCAATCAATTTTATTAACTTTAACATCAAGCAAGAAAAATTGTAACTCGAAGGTTAGAAAATTACCACATTTTTGTTTTATGGTAAATTGCTCCCCATTGCATATCATACTTCGTACTACTTAAACTAATCATCCATTTGGAACATCAGACAAGTCCTACGGAAGATTTTGTAACACAAGGGCGAGGAAAAGGAAAAAGAGAGTAAAAAACTACTTGTTCCTGAAACTTAATAATGTACAGTATATTTTTCCTCTCCTCCTTTCCCTCTCATATTCTTTCCTCTTATTCCCCTTTTTTCTTCATTAGCCACAGAATATGCTCCATTTTTTCTATTCAATGTCCCTCAATTGATATAGGGCCTAATAGAACTTTACACTTACATTCTTTTACTTGGAACATCTGACCATTTCAACTGGAGATTTTGTAGCAACATGACGAGAGAAGAACAGAGAGAGAAAAGAGAAAAAAAAATATCTTATTTTATTTCCTTTTTAGTTTTAATTATTTTTTATTATTCCATTAGAGGCTGATTAACTGCTTGTTCTTGTAACCCAGCAGTGTATATTGATTTATATTGATTTTTTTTTTCCATTGTCTATATAAATAGCTCTATACTTTAAAACCTATTTTTTTCTTTTTCATTTTTTTTTCTTTTTTCCTTTTCATTTATTTTTTATTTATAAAATGTTCCACTACATTGTTTCTTAATATCGGCTCAAGCCCGTCCGTAGTGCTGACGTGGAGTACATGCGTGTCGTTTTGCTTACAGTAACATTTCCTATCGATTTTATTTCTGCCCTACTTTTCGAATTCTTAGGCGATCGGCTTCAACCTTAACCTGAACATAAACAGAATACATTTGCCGAACAAAAAAAATATGTTATGCTAATAATATATTAGACATCTGTTTTTAAACGAAACAGGTTTAAAGAGAACACACTGTAGCAAAAGACTCTTTGGCTGTACCTCTAAATCCAAGCCTGGTGGTTATTATTTAATGTTTAATAATCATATGATATTCATTGATTTCAATTACACATACAGGACAACAAAGCTTTGAGCCTGATGTCGAAAGTGTGCGTCTCTCTGTCACTCATCGCTTTGGTTGTTTCTCTCATCGTTTACTGCTTATTTCCGTAAGTTATTTAAATTACTTTTTTTAAAAGTAATTTTAAGTGTTGATCTCATAGTTTAACACATCGAGGGTATACCTACTATGACAACTAAACACCTCATTGTAGTAAACAGCATATAAATTTATTTGTCAAACAAGTATTGGTTAAAAGCAAAGTGTTTCTGGCAGGATTTGACCCTGAAGCCTCTCGCTGCAATGGCGCGAGTGTCTAACATTAGACCACAGAGACATACGCGTGCATGTACACGCAGACATCTTCTCTCATACAGCCGGCTTGAAGCGCACACATACTGGGGTCATGTTTAAGTGAGAACTGGCTTGTACATTGTCGTAGTTTGGAAAAATAAATAGTACAACGTTGAGGTATAAATATTTGTAGCAAAATATACATATGCATATTTACTTGTTTACCTTTAAATAGGGAACTATGGAAATCACTCCGCGTTTCAATCCACAAAAACTTGGTTGTTAACATGATTTCGATGCAATCACTCTTTCTTTTTGGGATCGACAAGACAGGCAACAAGGTAAGTAGGCCTATTACTGAAATGCAAAGATTATATCAGAATTTATTATCAGATTCAAACTATTCTTTATTTATAATAGTTTGAATTAATTCCCTCAGCAAAACTTCACAATAATAAAACTAGTATATATATGAATATGAAACATTAAATTATACCGTAATAAATGTATTACTATTACATTATTATAAAAGTTTTTAATACTTATATATCGCTATGGTCCATGTACGTTATTATAGTTCCTTCGATTCGTTCCTTCGATTCTTTGTTCGATTGCTGTTCGTGTGTCCGTTTCTCCATCCATTCACCCGCCCACACCATCCACCTAGAAGACAAGTGCCGTAAGATCATTAAATTATCCGATTACATGTACGTGTATCTAATATACATACATTCTACATTATCCATCGAATCGTTTAAATAGTCATTTACCTTTCAGATCATATGTGCAGTCGTTAGCGTTCTTCTTCACTTCACTGCGCTGAATACATTCACCTGGATGTTTGGTGAAGCGGTATACTTGCTTTTCAAAGTTTCCACATCAGCCCCCAGCCAACACAACCGACTTCGAAATTACATGGCAGTGTGCTATGGTATTCCCCTTATCATCGTTGTCATTTCTTCGGCTGGATTCACATCCGAATACAATGATGGTGACAGGTAGGTTACTGATTAATTTCTAATGCTGGAAACCCAGGGGTGGTGCCAGCGGGGAGCAGGCTCCGTCGGGGAGAGCTGCACCCAACCCCTTCGTTTGGGAGGGAAAAACAATTTGCTATAAAGGAAAAATTATATGTATTTTTTTACATGTTAGTGGACGATTAAATAAGGAATGGAAAACCTAAAATGTCACAGTTTTCGGGGTTTCGCCCCTGAAATCTACTTCGCTGTCGTTGAACAACCCCCCCACCCCCCAACATCGGTGACATTGGACAGTCCGTCTGGTAACTCCTGGCACGATCCATGGCGATGGTGTATTGTTAAAATGTATGCATTGGCGAGTCGGAGAGCCCAAAAGGCTTCCCACACGAAATAGCAAACAGATTTTGTAATTTCAAAGGATGACAAAGATGAAATTTCCATAGATGGGAATATTGGCATATCTTCTTTATCTTAATTATTTATAAAAAGTAACAACAACGATCTATTCTAACATTTTTTTACCTTTTCCAGTTGTTGGCTTGGTCAAGAAAGAGGAATGATATGGGCATTTGTAGCACCAGCATTATGCATTGCTATGGTAAAGAATATTTTATGTGTACAATTTCGTGTTAGAGAGCAACATAGAATGTGATCAATGTTGCTGCGACATAGAATGTGATCAATGTTGCTATTGGCAATCCGGTCCACCGCCTCAAAACATGTTTAATTGTCTTGCTTTGTGTATTGTTTTTTGAATATTTTATTTTATAACAAGTGACGAAATGAAATGAAGCGTAAATATTGTTAGGTACTTCTAAAAATTGTATTTCTTGTAATTTTTAACCAATACATTTTTTAATTAATATATTTATTCTTATAAATGCAATTTTTATGTAACAATGTTTATACTCCATCTTCTCTTCTTAATGACGAATATATTTGCCTTTATGTTAATACTGTACACATTTGTTATTGATTTTTCTCAAGGGTAACACTGGAATAATGTGCATTGTTGTGAGAATAATCTACAAACGAGCAGGTAATATGGTAGGAAAACCTGCGGCAGCGAGGAACAAGTTTAAGCAATTGAGGTGATTAGGCCTATATATATATATACATACATACATATATATATCTTTTATTAATATCTCTGATCACATAGCTAGAAGTTTCACTTAAGGAACTTTTCGTTAATAAGCTATGCTTGGTACAATATAGAAAAATATTGCTGGTGTAACCGCTTTGAAGGTTAAGCATCATTTTACTTTGCATCTATTATTAATACCTCTGATCTTATAGCTATAAGTTTCACTTCTCTATTTTTTAAAGGTTTTTGTGAATAAATTTAATTTGAATAAGTTCAAACTTATTCCTACATGCTATGATACTACCTTGGGTAACCGTTTTTGTTTTCACACTATAATTTTTAATTGAAAATTCGAAGAACAAAATTGCTATTCCGATATTGGTTACACGATCACATTAGCCTCATATCCGCAGTCAGCTATCTCAAACTCTGATTTTGTTCTACAGAAAAGCTACTCGTGGTACATTAATGCTGCTACCAATAATGGGTAGCGCGTGGATCATTGGACCGTTTGCTGTCAGTTCGGATACTGAATTTCTTGATTACGTATTCAACTTGTTAAACGGCTCGCAGGGGGTCTTCATATTCCTTATCTACTGCGTCTTTGATAATGAGGTAAAATTGACTTTATTTCGTTGTTTTCAATTATTTTTAAGTTAGGCGATATTTACAAGTGGAATGTGTGTCATTAAAATGAGTAACTGTAATAGCATCAGCCATTGTGACTATGCCTTTTTTGACTTTATTTATTTTTATTATTATTTGTTCAGAAAAAAAGATAAAATACAATTACGAAGAATCTTAATCTTATGTCCACACTCAAATTTTGTGTTATGTTCCCATAATTATGAGCATTACTTGATAACATAAAAGTTGATAGTGTGGACAAAACATTAGTAGACACAACTGCCCGGAAGACACGCCTAAGGCTTGGTTTTCATACAATCGCTACATACGCTGTCGCTGACAGCTTTCGGTGACGCTGATTGGTCGATGAAATCAGGTAGCCTTCTCGATTGCGTCTGGCACAGCTGCTACGCAGTACAACGTTTGCACTGAAAACACCGTACCGACAGTGTAGCGATTTTATAGAAAACTGGCTTAAGCCATTGTCACAAGATAGGCGTGTACAGTACTTAACATTCATGACACAAACAAGGCATAAAATACAATTTATTATTGATATTAGTGTTTAAAACCTGCATTAATAGATTATTCCTACAAAATCTACGTTCAGTATTATGCTACATCCTCATTCTCCTCAGTAATGGACCTTTTCCGCTAAGCCCCGCCCCTTGGATATTGTTGCTAAGGTCCCACAAGGGCGACAGTGTTAAAACATAGCGAACACGTGCGTTTGTGGGACAAACACGTGTGTTTGTGAGACTCGCGCGTATTTAATTAGTCATAAAAATGTTCAATGCCATATATAGGCCTACATTGCTTTTGTTAAATTTGGAATGAAAATTTTTCAATAACCTGGCAAGATCCATGTTCGGGAGGGGCAACATTTAACTAACCAATTATTACTGTTTGCATATGGTATCTGTTGTCTGCTCTGCTGTCCTAAAAAAAAACAAAGTTGCGAGACTTCAGAGGTTGATGGCGCTCTTTCAAAGTACACCCGATGAAATGGTCTATATCTCTATACGTTAATTAATTGTTTATTTAAACTACAGAGATTTGTATGCTTTATGCATTTTTTTCCTCATAATTTAAGGTCGAAAATTTGATTTCATTTTTACAGACAAATGAGTGTTTTAAAAAACGATTCAAGAAAAACGAAGTAACCCCAGCGACGGAAATGACGCAAAACGAGTGAATATATACATAACTTTTTGGATTGATATTCAGTATACTTAACTTGTAGTAGTTAAAAGCAAATGTAAGATGCACTATATTTTAGATGTGATTAATGTGTCTTAATAAAATTGTATGTGATAATAATAGTATTTCTAAAATTATCAAAAACACATTTTATATGTGTCTCATTCGCAGTTTATTGAAAATAAGTATAAAGAAGAGGGTGTATCTTACCGTCTAGTCCATACGACCCTAGTAGTGCTAAGTAGTATTAAGACGTTATTGTGATACCTTGTGTGTTTAAAATTTGTATTTTGAATGGAACTGATGATTAGTGTACTTAGCAATGCCAACTTTATTTGTATTTGTTACAGTATATATATAATGTCTATAAAGGCTTAACATTTTGAATCAAGATGTAGAAATAACGAAATAGGACCTGTTTTTGCTTTTCCTAAAAATACGGTATAAAATATACCGTATAAAGTAAATATACCGTATAAATTACGATATCTGAAATCCAGCGTCCCGTTTCTACTAAAAGTACTTCTTGGGTGGTCTTTTTTAATAGGTCCACTTTTATCCAAAATGCCTTTCGTGAGACGGAAGTTTGGATTGACCTGTGTAGTGAGTTTTTTATTTTCTTCTTCTCGATAAACATGGTTCTTTAAAGAACGTTGTAATTTTAGTTTCATCAATTTTATCTATAATTAAAATAGATGAAAATAAAATTACAACGTTCTTTTAGTTTCATCAATTTTATCTATAGTTAAAAGTTGCAACGAAGGAAGTTTTACCCCCCCTACAGCGAAGAAATTATTGGTGTTATTTAGTATTGGCTAATATCGTTAGTATTTTCAGTCCACATTTCGCATTATTTTTCGCTTTTCCACGACAGAAAAATCAAAACAACCCGCGTTATGCTCTGGCTCTTGACCTCATGTCAGGGGTCGGCACAAAATACGGTATTTTTATTGGCAGCAGAAATGGGGTATGAAAAATACGGTATCTGTTGCAAAATACCCGATCCACAAAAATATTGGGGAAAATACGGTATAAAAAATATGGTATATTTTTGTGAGCCCCGTTTCTGCTGCAAAAGAAAATACCGTATTTTAAAATACCGTGACTGTATTGTTTTGGCAGCAGAAACAGGCCCATAGAAAAAATGTACAAGAAAAGTAGTACAGTTTGGTGTAAGTGTAAAACTCTCCTTCTTTTTAAATACACTGTACGTTAACATTAGTAAATGGTTGTTAATAATTAAAGGAAAGGAACGAATGCAGTGTAATTATGAGTACGGTACGGTATTCACCATAGAAAAATAATTGAAAAGAGTTATTACAATAAAGGTGGTTTAAATGATAAGATGCCTTTTGGTATAAACATTGGTATAAATATTCATTTTGGGTACCGTGAGATAATATTATAAGTACAGTAGTAGATATAACGCTTCACAAGTTGACCTAATGTTTGTAGATGAAGAGAATTGTTCATTGTTGTGTTGTATTGGTCGCCTGTACGCATTTGATATTGTAGTTACTGTATTTAATAGGCCAAATATTTACAATTGAAAGTATAGGCTTTACTAAGAATTGAGATCTTCTTTTTATCCAGTCTACTCACAAGTTCATGCTCCGTAAAACCAAGGGTAATTTCACTGTTCCCTGGTAGAACAATGTCGAGTTAAATATAAAAATTCGGCATCACGATTCTCGTGTGTAGTGGTGTGAAAGGATTAGAAGGAACAGGGCCGCGAATTACGTTGCTCCGAATTACGTTGGATCATGCGTATCCAATTATCACATTCACCAAGCACTAATCTCTTAATCACCCAAGCAGTCTAATTATATAACAAACTATTTACCTAGTGCTTCACCCAGTCATTATTTTCTATTGTTGTCTCTTGAGGAAGTCCTGAGTACAGGACGAAATATTCACGTCAAATAAAATAATGTTCCTATAATACGTCAACTGTGTATAATTTTTTTTTATCGTATCAATGCCTATATACTGTCTCTTATACACATCTAAATATACCGTATAAAGTAAATATACCGTATAAATTACGATATCTGAAATCCAGCGTCCCGTTTCTACTAAAAGTACTTCTTGGGTGGTCTTTTTTAATAGGTCCACTTTTATCCAAAATGCCTTTCGTGAGACGGAAGTTTGGATTGACCTGTGTAGTGAGTTTTTTATTTTCTTCTTCTCGATAAACATGGTTCTTTAAAGAACGTTGTAATTTTAGTTTCATCAATTTTATCTATAATTAAAATAGATGAAAATAAAATTACAACGTTCTTTTAGTTTCATCAATTTTATCTATAGTTAAAAGTTGCAACGAAGGAAGTTTTACCCCCCCCCCCCAACTT